AAAGCAGTAATATCACAATCATGATATGTAATGTATTCCCTCTAGAACAGCACATGAATAAACATGATCGTGTAAAACTTCAGGTCCCTTTTCCTCCCTCTTTCTCTGTTTGTTCTGTCATAAAGTCTAAAGCTCCGCTCTAAAGATGCCTTTCCTGCTTCAAGACAAACATGCCCATCAACCTCAGCTTTATACTCTTTTGGGGGTCGGGGTCATTCTTCCTTTTGCACCCCACGACCTCCATCCCCACAAACCTCAATATCAACACTTGCAAGGTGTGATGTTTTACATCTCACTATGTTGACCAACTCCTCGCTTCAGTATATCAGTTTATTTTTGTCTGCTAGCCACATTTGACGTTGGTGACCATGAAGTATTCATTATATTCAAGTTTTAAAGCAAAAGAAATATTAACCACCAGCCTTATTTTTCAAATTTGATTCCCTGTAAAATCGCCCTGTTTCCCAGAATTGCATTGTTGCCATTTTTGCCAATGAAGGACCTCAAGAAGGAGTGCAATGTTCAGTGGAAACTGTGCAGTGTTTCGCAAGGAGACGGCCCTGAAGGGAACAGCATCAATCACTTTGTGCTTTTAGCTCTGCTATGAAATGAAGCCTGATCCTAGCTTCAAGAGCAGCTCAAAAACACTTGTGATTCACAGTGACAGGCAAATACCCAATGTATGTTAGATTAATTATTTTCTACTTTTTATAGTCTGATTTTTAGCTGTTCTCTACAGCTATTCCACTGTTCCCAGTCAAAGTGAACCTGTATCATGATGGTGATCTACAGTGCAGATACTGTGGAGAAATACCTCCAGGAGTTGTGGGTGAGGCTGTGCAGTCCTGCTGCTTTCTGTTGACCCACTGGATGATTTGTAAAGTGCTTCTATGACGCCCGGCTGGAGATGTTATCAGAGTCAGAGAAGTCTGTTCTGTCTCTCTCGTAGAGTCTGCAGTGCGCAGAAACAGCAGGAAAAATAAGAGTGTTTGTGAGTGCAGTACAGAGTAGAGTGGAGAACTGTGTCTGTAGGGCCCCACAGCCACCCTCAGACTCAAATCTCCCCCACACATGGTGTTTTTTTTTTTCTGTAGACCCTCTGTCAACTGTGTTTTAACCAGGTCAGATGGGGAGATATTGCTCTTGCTTTCTAAGGTTTTCTGAAGTTTATAGGGTGGCATATTGAAATGATGATCATGACGGAGCACAAATGAAGAGGAGAGTCTATGATGCAATTATTTTGAGTACTAAGTATGTTTTTAAAGCTATTTTTTTTTACAGTCAAAGACCAACAAAGCTACATTAATATCTAGAATAATGCAGCACAATGTCCAAATTCAGCAGAAGTATCACTAATGTGAGATGTAAACTCTCCATTAACACCTGGATGTAGTAGAAATACTGTATTTTCTTTGGCAGTGGGGTCAGTAGGGGCTGATATTATTTCAGTGAGGCAGCAAGGCAACTGGGCGGGGTTAACAGGAACACTTGGAAAAGTGGAATGCTTTCAAAGGTGGCAGAAAGTGTTTGGAGATTCAGCGAGGCTGGAGGTGTAGCTTTTCTTAGTTTTAGGTTGCTTAACTGTCATTCAAGTGTACAAGGGGTTACTTGCAACACCTTATGAGGGGATTTTTTTTAACCCTGAGTCTCACTGCATTGTTATTTAGCGCCAGCTTACTAAATACAAGCAAGCTTAAGTAATTTAAAGCGTCACAGGAACCATGGCAACGACAGCTCTCACCGGTTTCTCCATGATGAGCCTGCTGAGCCTCGGGTACCTGACCTGGGATCTGATGAGCCCTAACCAGGTGGAAAACGATCCAGAAAAACCTTTTATTGGCAGATTTCCTGTCCCTCAACCCCCTCATATTATTTTCATTATGACAGATGACCAGGGGTTCAATGACATTGGCTATCATAGCTCAGACATCAGGACACCGGTGCTGGATAAACTGGCTGCGGATGGCGTGAAGCTGGAGAATTATTACATCCAGCCCATCTGCACCCCATCCAGAAGTCAATTCATCACTGGCAGGTAAAGTGTCCTGTGACTGGACTGCTCCTTATTTAAAACGAATGCTTTGTATTCCTAGAATTAGACCATACTGATGTTTAACATAGATGTAACTGCTGCCTGATGAATTAAACTACTGGATTTTAAAGCAGCTTCCTGTTTTGTGAGCTAAATTATTTGAATGCATGGGGACAGTGGAACCAAGACCACACTTCTAGAGATAATGGCAAATCTAGAAAGTGTACAGCTTTTATGTTTCAAAGCTATCAATCAGGTCCAAACATGTGATTTCCGACTATATATTTCCAATTAAAGAAAAAGTATGTAAAGGATGTGCTTGCTATTACACAGCCTTCTGTCTGTGTTTTGACTGGCATACAAATATAAACGGACACAAATCTGGAGTGTATCTTCATGCCAATCACCATAACCTGTTTGAGAAAAACAGGGCAGTCTCCTTCTCCCTGTTCTATTTTTCTAAACCTCTTTACAACCCCTCTTATTCACATTTCTGTTTAACCTGTTGGATGTGATTGGATGATATGGATTAAGGCTGTCTTGATATCAGATTTCCCTCCTTTATTATTGCGCCCAAAAGATATGCAACCTCAAAAACGAATCTTATCCCTAAATGCAAACAATATATTTTTCCTTCTAAATATTTTCTTAATCTTAAATTCTGCAGGTACCAAATCCACACTGGTCTTCAGCACTCCATCATCCGACCTCGCCAGCCTAACTGCCTGCCTTTTGACCAGGTCACGCTCCCTCAGAGGCTACAGGAACTCGGCTACTCCACCCACATGGTAGGGAAGTGGCACTTGGGGTTCTATAAGAAGGAGTGCTTACCCACTCGCCGTGGCTTCGACACATACTTTGGATCCTTAACGGGGAGTGTTAACTACTACACCTATGATGGCTGTGATGGCTCTGGGCTGTGTGGCTTTGATCTCCATGAGGGGGAGTCAGTTGCCTGGGGTCAGAGTGGAAAATACTCCACGCATCTGTACACAAGGAGAGTACGCAAGATCCTGGCAACCCATGATCCTCAATCCCAACCGCTGTTCATCTTCCTCTCCTTCCAAGCTGTTCACACACCCTTACAATATCCAGATGAGTACATCTACCCCTACCTTGGGCTGGAAAATGTGGCACGCAGGAAGTATGCTGCTATGGTGTCAGCTGTAGATGAAGCGGTTCGTAATATAACATACGCTCTCCGCAAGTATGGATACTATCAGAACAGTGTCATCATTTTCTCTACAGACAATGGAGGTCAGCCCTTGTCTGGTGGAAGTAACTGGCCTCTTAGAGGACGTAAAGGAACCTACTGGGAAGGTGGCATCCGGGGTCTGGGATTCGTCCACAGCCCTCTGTTAAGGAAAAAGAGGAGGGTGAGCAAATCACTGGTGCACATTACTGATTGGTATCCCACATTAGTGGGATTAGCAGGTGGTGATGAGTCCCTCACTGAGGGGGTTGATGGGTATAATGTGTGGGAGGCCATCAGTGAAGGAAAAGAATCACCTAGGCTGGAAATCCTGCACAACATCGACCCTCTGTATAACCATGCACGCACTGGCTCCCTGCAGAAAGGATATGGCATTTGGAATACAGCCATTCAGGCCTCCATACGAGCTGGAGATTGGAAACTTCTGACAGGAGACCCTGGTTATGGAGACTGGATTCCACCACAAATACTTCCAGGTTTCCCCAGTAGCTGGTGGAAGCAGGAGCGTCACACACGTCCTCGAAAAACAGTGTGGCTTTTTAACATCTCCGGGGACCCCTATGAACGTTATGACCTTTCTGAGCAGAGACCAGATGTTGTGAAGCAGCTGCTTGCCAGACTGGTGTACTACAATCGCACTGCGGTGCCTGTGAGGTACCCATCAGAGGATCCGCGGGCTGACCCCTATCTGAATGGAGGTGCCTGGGTCCCTTGGGTAGGAGATGAGGAGGAGGACAACTGGGGCAGTTTTTTCCAGAAAAAAAGCATGGATTGGAAGAAGAAGCTCAAGCTGTCCAAAAGCAGGTCATTTTTCGGGAAACTAAAAACTCGGATCATGTCTAACATAGTATAGGAGAACACAACCAAAAGAAAATCACTGGTTTAATGAAGAGGTGCTACTTTAGTTGAGAGAACATCTGAAGATGTGTTCTCACTCATGGGCCAGGTTTCTGCAAGATCGAGCTGTAGCTTCAGGTGCATGTTTGATTTCTGTAAGAATAACCGATTGGTGATGTTTTCATTATTAATTTGTTTGTATCTCAATTATAAGTGTTTGTTTTGCAAAAGTGAACATTATAAGCTTCAAAAACACATGAGCGAATTCCATTTTACAGGTGCAACTGTGCAAGCTAGTGTGTTTACTGTTGCACAGGTAAGGGTTGTTTTAAAAACTCAAAATCTGTGTACTTGACAAGAATGACAAGGTGGAATCATCAGAAGCTTTCTGGCTTTGATTAATGTAAATGATGACTACCTCTGTGGCAATGTGACATTAATTGTAGACATTATTTCCTTCATTAAATTAGCCTCTGGATTATTGTATTTACATATTTTCTACCTGAAGAATATTCTGTTTCTGTACACATCAGATTATTTTTGTGCTGTTCTGTACTTTTTATAGCAGCTACCTGTTCCACTGAATATTAGAAGAGGGCTTCCTTCTTCATTTGTCACAGCTATTCATGATGAGCTTGAACGATTGCAAGGACTTTAGCAAAAATCAGTACAAAGCAACATAGCAATATGTTTTAAAAAACAGGCTTGTTTGCCTCATTGTGCCATAATAAAAACTGATGAGATGCCCAGCCGGGCACATATATGCTGGTGGACATGCATGTACAGACATAGCTGTTTCTTCTATGTTTAGAGCAGGGTAGGAGGAAGCATGCAAAACAAAAGTCAAAGTAGCTTCAGTGTGTTTAAAAGCCCCGTACTATTTGCACAGGTTCTCTGCACCCCTATAAGAGTGGTAGCTTCCATCTCCTCTGTAATACAGGAACTACCCATGTAGGTTCTTTTTTTTCACACAGATGAGTTTTCTCAGTTCCAGTTGAGTGATTATATGTGTGTTACTGCCTTAGCCTGTCCTGTTGTGTGCGTCCATTAAAATGTAAGTAAGCAATGTACATTCTTCTTTTCTAATGATGATTTTTATTCTTCTTATTCTGTTCTCCATCACTCCTCTTGCTTACTAACCTTAATTAAGAGTAAGTGAAGAATTGTAAAGCTTGCTTCCACCTGTGCAGAGCTGCAATGTTTAATGTTACTATGTTCATAGTGACTATTTTATATTTACTTTTTAAAGTTTATTGTGCTATTACAAACTTATTCACATATAAATCTGCATCATTTGAATTTGTTTTCTTTACCCAAATACTTGTGAGTCATGTAGCATGAATTTTCATATTGAATTCAGCCTCCTTTGTTGGATAAGAGGATTCTGTGTTTTAATATTTTCTGGAGAACATTGCCTCACAGTTTCATATTGTGGCAAAGATTTGCATCCTTTTCGTGTGGTGCTTTTAACCAGGTTGTCTGCATTTTATTTGTTCTATATCTTTCATTTCTCTTCCTTTTTGGAAAGCAAACTTATGCAAACCTACAAACAGAAAAAGACATCTCTCCTGCACACCCTGTAAAGACTGTTAAACAATAAAGTTCTCCTCACAGAAGCTTCTGGACTATCGGTGACTTAATTTGTCACTTTAGTTTTGGTTTGCTCTTTCTCACACTATCTGTGGTAACCAGCGTACCATGTGTGGCTGACTGTTCTGAAAGTGTGACTGCAGTTCCCAGTGTTGTTTAGATTCAAGTTTTCACATGCAATTACAACAGAGAGGAGAACATATTTGTTCATATGTGGTAAATATTTCTTAAGATCAGTTCAGTACAGCAGCCTGTCTCAGTTCTCTTTGTGTTGGCAAGGAAAGTGAATCACTTTATTTCCTGCCCCTGTGAAAATACCCTGCCTATATCGTCTCCCATTTACTGTTTCCTGTCAGTTAGGGCTGAGGTTCACAGCAGATTTACACCCGGATGTGTCCAAAATTTTCTAGATTCATTTTAAAACATTAAAACCACAGCGTGGGTGAATAAAAAGCATGGAGCAGTTTCTTATTCTTGTGCTAATGGCAGCGGGAACTCATGGTAAGATCATCCTCACAAGATGCCAAACATTTACATTTGTAGTGTGAATTATTTCCACTCATGTTCCTTTGAATGCATCTTTTCCAGCTCTGGTTCCAGTTGATGAGACTACTTGTGACCTCAGGACGAGCACATGTCCATGCTCTCCTCTTCTTGAAGAAACTGTATATATCCAAGTGATGACTGATGCTAATGGCTGTCAACTGCAGTGTTTGAAGGTGCTTCCCACTGAGACAAAAACTGTGTTCAATATCAAGAAAGGAAAAACAACAATAGACAAGGAATTTAACAACAGACTAACATTTCTAATCAACAACGGGACAATCAAGATCACAAACGTGAGGAGGAGTGACTCAGGTCAATACAGCATTGAGGTCTTTAATTCAGATGGAGTCCAAGAGAAAAACATTAATTTCACCCTGGATGTTAAAGACAATGGAAACTTTGAAGGCAAGGCACTCTGGAACCTTGAAGGTAACTTACTCATGATTTTATATTTTTAATATTATTATACAGTTAATCAGAAATGTAAGCATGTGGGAGTAGAACTATTAAACACAGTACACATCACTTGTGCAACTAATGATAGAAGATGAAACAGAGAAAATGCAGAGACATGAAAATGTATCATGTTTAATGTTTTCGATTTCTTGAGGAGAATGAACAGAATATTTTTTGATACAACATCTTTGTATCTGTTGGTATTGTCAGTTATTTTAGCCACACGAGGGCAGCTATTCATACCACAATTTAGTTATCTTTTTATTTCTCAGTAACTACCACCTAAACTTAAAAGGCACACTAAAACTTTCCACTTGGTCACTGATTATTATTAGCTGCACTATATGAGCACATTAAGCTGTGAAATGGATGTGTTGTAGTAGGTGTGGTTTTATGACAGGAAACAGGTGGTTCAACAGAAGTTGTCAGTGTGGTTTTTCTTCAGTGTCTAACACTATACCTCTGGTGTGGTTTAGTGGGAGTTAGCAAATAATCACAGTCAGAGCAATAAACTTTATCTACATAACACTTTTCTTAACTAAGTGTTTCACAGAACAAATGAAAAGGAATAAAAGATAAGAACAAATGTGAATCTGGAACTGTCAAGAAGTAAAGATCTTGGAAGAAACATAACCTCGGGTTCTTGATACATGTATCAAGATCAATTAATGAAGTATTCAGCCATGATCCAAACTGCATAATGGTAGCTAAGAAAAATGTCTAGGATTCATTATGTTTTTATATCTGTAATCTGATACCTCAGCCTCATAACAAACTGACTTGTTTCATGTTGGGATCTTCTATGTTGCAAATACAGTGACATTTACGTTGAACA